ATTTTTGTTTTATGCCTTTGCTTATTTATTCTTTTATTGAGAAAACAAATTCAATTTACCAAAATACACAATAGAAATATACACGACAAACACCATTTTAGGCCCTGAAGTGCCCTAGCTGTGCAGGCCCTCTCACCTTCTCCAAACCAACACACTTATTCTCCTGTGTCCAGTGTGGTCAGCAGACCCATGCCACAGAGCAGTTGCAGGGAGCAGTACTGGCAAGGGAACTCTTTGTCCAAGGAATTGTTCAGCTGGAGCAAGGAAATTACTGTGGTAAACAATTACTGCTGCTCAAAAACATGACTTGTGTTTTAGTGATTGTTGTTTCTTGTAGGGTTATTCAGTAAATTTTTTTCAGAGGAGAATGTATGCACTTTGATTTGCAACAACGTCAGGTTCTTTGGTTTTAAAGGATTTAAATGATAATTGATATCATCTACTCATTCAGGGATCACTATGTCAGCTTCATATTTAATTTTGATATAAATAGGAAGAATTCATATTGCTTGAGAATAACTCTTTTACTTATACCAATTTATTTTGACCCCTTGCAGAAGCCTTGCCAAAGTTGAAGGATTGTTACAAGTTGAGATCTGAAGTGCTCTATAAGTACAACCAGGACCTGTCAGAAGTTTGCGACCAGCTGGCAAGGTGCCATGCTTCCCAGGGTAATTTTGTTTAATAATGGGGTTGTGATATAGTTTCATTCCAATGCATCAGTGAGAAATACTAGGGAGATTTCATTTTCTGTAAATGTACATGAATGTTCTGGACCAAGAAGAAACGCTTGGTTTTGTTCATGGGGAAATGAATGTTGTAGTTGAGGAACACTGTTTCCTTCCAGTGTATTAAGAGAAATACTAAGGAAATTTCATGTTCTGCATGTCCACATAAATCTTCTGAACCAGTAAGAAATGCTTGTTTTTTTTTCGTGGGGAAATTAATGTTTTAGTTTGGGACCACTGTTTTAGCTGTTTCCTGTTAAGTTATGGATAATGGAATCATAACATGTACCCCACTGTCACCTGACATGTTGCTGTTGTTAATTTTTGGTGTTACAAATGAATGCAAAATTCCACTGTATGAAAACTGATTGTGCGGTTGTCTGAAGTCACTAAGTGCTGGTTTCTTATAATACCAATTATCTTTTATTGAGTGATTGGCAACCAGTGGGTTAGGGGGGACTGTTCAGCAAAGAAATTTGTCTGAAGCCTAGTATTGATAAACAGGAAACCCCTCTTGTCATGCACAAACAAAATAACAGCTGTAACATGTGGTCTTAAAATGAAAATTAATGAAAATCATTTCATGGCAGTTCGTGGAACTTGAAGTTAGTGTGGAATAGGGGCATTGCTTTTAGAAACAATTTTTCTTTATTTTCAAATGGGAAGAATAAGGGTAAAAAGTAAAAAATAACACTATATATTGTGCATTGCCAAGTAATTAGACCAGGTCTAAATGACCTAAATTTAAGTGACTTTGAGTGAGCAAGTTTGTTGGCAGTGGATATTGCATATTGAATTTAATATAACAGTCTTCAGAATGATAGAGAAGAGATTTGCATTGCCTAAAGGAAAGTAATCCTTGTTGTTATTTTGTCGATATCAGGAGTATATAAGCTCCACTTTTCTTTCAGCAATTCACAAACATGTTTTGGTGACATATGGTTTAAATGGACAAAAATGTGGTAATTAGAAATACAGTTTGATAATTGATAAATCTTGCCGTGGATGCTGATATACATTCAAAGATGTTTCTCTTTTTAAGGAAAATTCCTAGAAGCATCCAAGTATCTAGCCAGAAGTGTAGAAAGTACAGAAGCACTCTATGGAGCCAATAGCATTGAACTTGCCAATGAACTACAGAAGTACGCAGAAGTGTTGTACAATGCAAAGAAATTCAAAGAGGCGCTAAATGTTACAGATAGGGCATTGAGTATTTTCAAACTGCACTATGATCTTGCACACACTTCTGTGAAAGAAATGATGGAATTAAAGTTCCATTTACAGTATGAACTCGGAAAATAAGACATTGCCCATCATGCCCAGCTTTTATTGTCTTTGGAATTGTAAGTTCTGTTACCAAACAAATTTTATGAAATAAATACAAGGTTATCACAAAGCTTTAACCGATTTTATAATACACAGATTTACTTTCCGGAGTCATCGGGGTATTCCGTATATACGCAAATGCAAAATTATCAGTACATGACCTTTGACCTACAATAAAGATGCAGAGCCAATCAGTAGCAAGTTTCCATAACACGAGACCAAGGGCCAGTCTCATTCTTGCTGCTGGTAAGAATGGACATCGAAATTCGCCAGTGAAATTTCATTCCAATTTAACAAAAGAATCACGAGGTAAGCACTCCTAATGTTACGCTTATTTTTATTCTTACATATGTTGTCTCTTGTTCTTGCTTGCTCTCTTTTCGTTTCCTTTCTTTATTTTGTTTTACACCACCCACCCTACAGCTTTTCATCGGTGGGGTGCATTTGTACCCCCACCTTTAATAATTACATCTTTCTTTGCAGTTAATTTTCATTGTGTTATTATAATTTATTAGTCTTATCGCATAATTATTTTTACTTTACCCTTGACAAGTAGCCCGGTGACGCCCTTCACCACATAAGTTTTCATGTATTTATTAAACAGAGCAAAAAATGTCCCTATTTCTGTAGAATTATAATAGAATTAACTATGGAAGTTTTATATTTGATTGAATTATTTATCACCCCAAATGATTTTTCAGAGAAATATGGCTAAAATTTACTTTGGAGAGAGAGGTTTCTGGGCCAGCAAATTTTTATTAAATTTGTACAGACTTGTTAGGCAAAAACAAATGAACCATTTAGTTCTAACTTAAATTCACCAATCAAGACAAATTTTGATAGACAAAGATGAATTATATTATTGGCTTACTTTAAGTAAATTTATACAGAACATTCTTTACAGGCAACTGGATTTGATTTCAAATATTACTTTGAGTACATGTGAGAAAGAAAACCGCACTAAAGAAATGCATAATATAATTATATTTTTTAAAAATTGCCAAGAGGGAGGTGGTGGTGGAAGCATGTGGTATAGAGAAGCACACAAACAAATTGACTACAGAAAAGGCCTCAACAGTTGTTGGTCGTGTTAAAGGGCCATAGACACCACTGTCCAACACCACACTTTAAATGTCCCATCAAAAAGGAAAATATCAGAAATATAATATCAGTTCAATCATTATATTTAAATTTTCTCAACCTTTATTTTTTAACAAATTAAAAATAATAAAATAGGATTTTCTACAGGCTTGGAGAATTTTTGTCCTTGACATGTCCTTGACTGAGAAACAACCACTCCCAGACCTATAGACAGTGAAAATGACTGTGAGTAAAGAAGAAAATGTTTAATAACATATATAACTCAAAGACCATGTTAAATAAAATTAAAAGTAATTTTATTCCTGTACTTATATCAGTTCCATTTTCATCTACAAATGCACACACAAATAGTATGACACATTATACCAACATCATTTATAATGTCTTTCACAGATAAGTATGCTGCTTTTTATCAATATTCAAAATTTGATTTCAGGCATCATCTGCAGACAGAGATACAATTAGTATTTCTCCAACAAACCGTGAACATGGTTATGTGAGTACAAAGCAAATAAGAAGCCAATAACATGTCTTTCTCTAATTTTTCACAAATTAAACAGATAACAACTCTTCATACGAGATTCAGTCTTCATTTTTTCGTAAGGTCTAAATGTGATGAGAAATCGCAAGCTACATTTTCAGTTTTTGCAACTTTCTTCCAGGTTTGCAGATTGTTTGTCTTTGGTATTAAAAATCATTACTTTGATTTCAGATTTCATCTACTACAGCACTACAGACAGAAGAACACTACTGATGGACAAATAAACTGTGAACATAACTATGTGAGTGAAGTGAAAAAAAAAATGGAATGTTAAACACCATTTTTTTAAACATTTTTTTAAACATATTTTTAAGGGTATATTGTACATAATTAACAATCATTTTTATGCTCTACTTCATCATTACTATCAACATTACACACTTCTATACAACAGATAATGTCTTACTGGCATCATTTCAAGCCTTGTTAATTTTTGTAGTATTTGGCCTTGTACCTGTTAAATCTCTGCTTTCCATCCTAATACTGTATGAGCCATGTGACTCCAAAGTGGTTCAACCTGCTGAAATACATTGGGTTGGTGGCATTTCGTCTTTTTTACACCTTACTTTTGCCCAATATGAGAGAGCATCAGAAAGTTCAGAGCATATAAATAACTATAGTATTAGCAAGTTCAGTCCCTGTGAATTTTGGAATATGTGTAAGAGAGATACATGTATTTGGCATATCTTGTAAGATGACACATCAAATTTAAGCATGAAAGTTACAAATCGTTTTATAGATTATATTTTCTGGGATCCCAAACAGCAATGCCCATATGATTTCCCAAAAAAATAAGGGATCAGCAAGATTCTATCCAATGAAGAGCTAGGGAATACATAAAGACAAAGGTTATGTGTATGTGCAGTATGTAAGTGGGAGTGAGTGCGACAATAGAATTTTTGAATATATTTTCATTAAGCCCAAACAGTACAAGATTCTTTTACATACATCACAAGAAAGAATTTATAATTTCTCCTTTATCCTCTGTGTTAAAAATAATTATAGGGGAATTATGACTACTAATATTTTCTCAATGTACTATCGAATATGTCAGAACTTGTCATAGCATCTATGAACTGTAGAGGTCTAGGTAGTCACGAAAAAAGAAGACATATTTCAGCATATTCATAGTAAACATTATGCAATATGCTGCCTGCAACATACACATTTCACATCTAAGCAAACGGATTTTATTAGATCATGTTGGGGATTTGATGCATATATTAGTCCAGGGAAATCTAATGCGCGTGGGGTTGCGATACTTTTCCATAATACATTCAAGTATACTATGTTAAATAAAAAGAAATGATACTGAAGGAAACCTAGCTTTTAATTCTAAAGATTCTCCTTTTTCAAAAATACATTGTTATTGATAAATATTTATAGACCAAACAAAGATTCACCTGAGTTTTATGAAAATCTAGAAAGACTTATAGAGGAAGAAGACTATGATTTTCTAGTTATCACAGGTGACTGGAACCTAGAACAAGATCCAACATTAGACTGTTCTAATTACAGAAATTTGAATAATCCAAAATCAAGAGAAAAAATGTTAGGAATTAAGACTAAATTTGGTCTGGTGGATCCATGAAAAGTGTTACTTCCTGATATTCGTAGATATACCTGGTCCAGTCTTAATCCTGTAAAGAAGGCAAGACTGGATTTCTTTCTCATCTCGACAAAACTAATGAATTTGATAAATAACTCTAAAATTAAACCAGGTTACAAAACTGACCACTCAAATAATTCCTTTATTAGAGCAAAAGGCTTCTGGAAATTCAATAGCTTACTGTTAAAAGAACATGACTATAGAAACCTAGTTAAAAAAGTTATCTCAGATACAAAACATTTGTACGCAGCAACTCCATATTCGAGAGATAATAATAATAATAATAATAAGGTTCTTATATGGCGCCTTACATTCTATCTCAAGGCGCCTTACAATAATGGCTAATATACTAAAATCACTAAAATGACTACAATATTTTAATCATAAACTCTCATTGGAAACCATTTAAAATTTACACCACTAAAAATCAATCTTATTAAAAAACATATATATATTTAAATAAAATTTAAGAGATATAGACAGAATTAAAAATGTGGGTCTTTAAAAGAGATTTAAAATTGTCAAAGTCTTCTGTTTTTCTAATAAAATTTGGTAGACCATTCCACACTTTTGGGGCGTAGATTATAAAAGCACGATCTCCATAACTTTTTAGGCACCCCTTCTCTAAAACAGAATGTTCTAAAATAAAATCATTCTCAGTATTAAAACGTGTGGACCGCCGTGGTAAGTTAAAACAGATAAGATCAGATAAATATAATGGTCTTTGTGAATGAATCGCCTTAAAAATAATACAGAGTACTTTAAAATCAATCCTCTGCTTCACAGGAGATATAAATATTGACAGCATTGATAATGATACAGTATCATTTGTAATCAATGACCAGCAATTTTTTAAAATATTATTATTAAACATTAGAGGCAGTACTATACCTTATGCCTCAGCAAAAAAGAAAGAAAAAGATATTAAGAAGAAAAAAGATTGGAAATAGAGATTGAAGATATGGAAAATTCAAACTCAGATTTGGAAAGATTCCAAAATTGCAAGAGAGAACTAGAAAATATTCAAAATCAAAAATTGTCTGGGAGCATTCTACGATCAAGAGCAAAGTGGGTGGAGGAAGGCTAGAAGCCAACACAATACTTTAGTAGCCTGGAAAAAAGAAATTACATCAATAAAACGATAACAAAATTGATAGTCTCAGAAACAAATACGTTAACTGACCAATTTGATATTATGCAAGAAATTGAAAAGTATTGTAAGAACAATTTGCATCAAAAATTGGGAAATTAGATGATGTGGATCTTCAAGTTATCTTGAACGATATGGAAATGGTAAAACTCTCGGATGAATAGGGGAAAAAGAAACCTGGAAACCTGTAAAATGAATAATATACTAGGTATGATTTTAGTACTTGCCTTTGAACAGGTGTTCGATTCAATTTCCTAGAAATTTATCTACAAAGTGTTATCTTAATTTTGGGCACGATTTCAAACACTATATGAAAACATTAAATACAGGTGTGAGTCTTTGTGTTATACAAAATGGTTTCTTCTCAAGATTTTTAAACATAGGTCGTGGATGCCGCCAAGGCGACCCACTTTCTCCTTATATTTTTAATTTGGGTGTTGAGAGTTAAAGAAAAGGAGTACTGTTTACTGCAATATGCTGATGATGCAATAATGTTTCTAAAGGGAACTAAGGAAAGTCTAAAAACTGCCCTTGACCTTTTGGATCAATTCTTTAAGTATCGAAAAGACAAAAGCTATCTGGATAGGAGCAAAATGAAACTCAGAAGAAATTTTATGTCCAGAATATGGTTTTCATTCCAAAGTTTGGAATGGACAAATAATGACTTTACCATCCTTGGAATTGTATTTAACCCTAAACTTGAAAATATTTTAGAAAAAAATTATTTTGATAAAAAAGCAAAAATAGAAAAAGAAATTAGATTTGAATTGTAGCAACATCACACCTCTAGGTAGAATTACGGTGATTAAATCACTTTTCTTGCCAAAACTGAGCCACCTTTAATGTCTTTACCAAAACCTGATCAAGAGACTATAACTAAGTTGGAAAACATATTTTCTGCTTTCATATGGAACAATAAAAGGAGTAGGGTCTCTAAAAAACAAATGGTCCAACCCAAAGAACTGGGGAGGGGGGGGTGTCAAATGACAGACATAACAACATTTATTAAAGGTTTGAAATTAACTTGGATAAGATGCATACTAAACAATAAAGAAAAACCATTAAAATGGATAAACCTTTTAATAGATACTCAAAATTTCAAAACTGAAAATCTGACGAAATTTGGGGATAATTATTGGGAAGAGTGTGTAGGTAATATGACCAATTATTTTTGGAAGGAAGTAGTGAAATATTTGGTAGAATTCCTTAGATCTTTGAATACTACTGACAATTATAGTTACAAGCTAAGACAATCACTCAGGAAAAATTCTAATATCAAAATAGATGGAAAAGAAATATTTCACAAAAGTTGGTATATGAAAGGGGTCAGAATTGTCTCTGATCTATTTGAGAAAAATTGGCAATATGTACTCCTTTGAATATTTCTCTGCACGGTATAATATCATGAGTCCATTCACACAGTTTTGAGGAATAAAATGTGCTATCCAGAAAAAATGGCCTGAAATTATAATGTCAAAAGATATGCTTATTAGACCATATAGATCAAAGTTAATAGTAATGCTTAAAGATAAAAAGGGTCAAGGACAATCTACAATATTATACTTAAGGCTAGTCTGAAAATGCAATGCAAGTCATCACATGAAGTGAAATGGGAAAATAAGTTAAATTTGGTAGAGAATTTCAATTAGACAATTGTTAACAAAAACATCTTTTTAAGTACAGAGGAAACAAAATTGAGATGGTTTCAGTATAGAATAGTGCATCATATTTTGACAACAAACAAATACTTGCATTGCATCAAGGTTAAAGATAGTAATGTATGTACGTTTTGTAAAACAGGAGTAGAAAGTATTTAACATCTATTTTATGAATGTGTGCTTGTTCATTATCTATAGGATAGATTGATAAGATGGTTATATGAATCTACAAGAACAATAATTGAACCAATTCAAGTAGTCGAGACATTATGATTATATTATTGAGTGCTAATAAGATGACTTTTAATCAAATAATACATGTACTTATAGTAAAATATTATATATATAGGAAGAGAAGTGAAGAAGCCAAGTTAAATTTTAATGAATTGGAAAAAATGATGAAGTGGTATTTTGAAGTAGAAAAATTCAGGCACATTAGTAAAGGTGAGAAAGAAAAGTTTAACAAAAAATGGGCATCATTAATACACTTGTTTCAGAAAGAAGACGAATGAGGAGTGAGTGAGTGAGCGAGCGAGAGAACAATTTACATAATTCGTAACAACATTTTCTTTCTGGAAGAATAAATATATTTAAAAAAAAAAGGCAGGTTAAATTTTAATGATGATTTAGAATCACAGTCACTACATGGATTGTATTATTANTAAACCAACACACTTATTCTCCTGTGTCCAGTGTGGCCAGCAGACCCATGCCACAGAGCAGTTGCAGGGAGCAGTACTGGCAAGGGAACTCTTTGTCCAAGGAATTGTACAGCTGGAGCAAGGAAATTACTCTGGTAAACAATTACTGCTGCTCAAAAACATGACTTGTGTTTTAGTGATTGTTGTTTCTTGTAGGGTTATTCAGTAGATTTTTTTAGAGGAGAATGTATGCACTTTGATTTGCAACAACATCAGGTTCTTTGGTTTTAAAGGATTTAAATGATAATTGATATCATCTACTCATTCAGGGATCACTATGTCAGCTTCATATTTAATTTTGATATAAATAGGAAGAATTCATATTGCTTGAGAATGACTCTTTTACTTATACCAATTTATTTTGACCCCTTGCAGAAGCCTTGCCAAAGTTGAAGGATTGTTACAAGTTGAGATCTGAAGTGCTCTATAAGTACAACCAGGACCTGTCAGAAGTTTGCGACCAGCTGGCAAGGTGCCATGCTTCCCAGGGTAATTTTTTTTAATAATGGGGTTGTGATATAGTTTCATTCCAATGCATCAGTGAGAAATACTAGGGAGATTTCATTTTCTGTAAATGTACATGAATGTTCTGGACCAGGAAGAAACGCTCGGTTTTGTACATAAGGAAATGAATATTTTAGTTGAGGACTACTGTTTCCTTCCAGTGTATTAAGAGAAATACTAAGGAAATTTCAATTTGAGCATATGCACAGAAATGTTCTGGACCAGTACCCCACTGTCACCTGACATGTTGCTGGTGTTAATTTTTGATGAATGCAAAATTCATCTGTATGAAAACTGATTGTGCTGTTGTCTGAAGGTCCATTTTTATATTTTGAAGGTTAAAAAGTGCGGGTTTCTTTTAATACCATTTATATTTGTCTTTTATTGAATAATTGGCAACCAGTGGGCTGGGGGGGGGGGACTGTTCAGCAAAGAAATTTGTCTGAAGCCTAGTATTGATAAATGGGAAACCCCTCTTGTCATGCACAAACAATTTAAACTAGCAGCTGTAACATGTGGTCTAAAAACGAAAAGAAATGAATATCATTTCATGGCAGTTTGTGGAACTTGTAGTTGGTGTGGAATAGGGGCATTGCTTTGAGAAACAATTTTTCTTCATTTTCAAATGGGAAAAATAAGGGTAAAAAGTAAAAAATAACACTATATATAATAACACTATTGTGCATTGCCAAGTAATGAGACCAGGTCCAAATGACCTAAATTTAAGTGACTTTGAGTGAGCAAATTTGTTGGCAGTGAATATTGCTTATTGGATTTAATAGAACAATCTTCAGAATGATAGAGAAGAGATTTGCAATGCCTGAAGGAAAGTAATCCTTGCTGTTTTGTTGTCGATATCAGGAGTATATAAGCTCCACTTTCGTTTCTTTCAGCAATTCACAAACATGTTTTGGTGACATATGGTTTAAATGGAGAAAAATGTGGTAATTAGAAATACAGTTTGATAATTGATTAACCTTGTCGTGGGTGCTGACATACATTCGAAGATGTTTCTCTTTCTTTAGGAAAATTCCTAGAAGCATCCAAGTATCTAACCAGAAGTGTAGAAAGTACAGAAGTTCTCTATGGAGTCAATAGCATTGAACTTGCCAATGAACTTCAGAAGTACGCAGAAGTGTTGTACAATGCAAAGAAATTCAAAGAGGCGCTAAATGTTACAGATAGGGCATTGAGTATTTTCAAACTGCACTATGATCTTGCACACACTTCTGTGAAAGAAATGATGGAATTAAAGTTCCATTTACAGTATGAACTCGGAAAATAAGACATTGCTTGTCATGTCCAGCTTTTATTGTCTTTGGAATTGTAAGTCCTGTTACCAAACAAATTTTATGAAATAAATACAAGGTTATCACAAAGCTTTAACTGATTTTATAATACACAGATTTACTTTCCGGTGTCATCGGGGTATTCCGTATATACGCGAATGCAACATTATCAGTACATGACCTTTGACCTACAGTAAAGATGCAGAGCCAATCAGTAGCAAGTTTCCATAACACGAGACCAAGGGCCAGTCTCACTCTTGCTGCTGGTAAGAATGGACATCAAAATTCGCCAGTGAAATTTCATTCCAATTTAACAAAAGAATCACGAGGTAAGCACTCCTAATGTTACGCTTATTTTTATTCTTACATACGTTGTCTCTTGTTCTTGCTTGCTCTCTTTTTGTTTCCTTTATTTCTTTTGATTTACACCACCCACCCTACAGCTTTTCATCAGTGGGGTACATTTGTACCCCCACCTTTAATAATTACATCTTTCTTTGCAGTTAATTTTCATTGTGTTATTATAATTTATTAGTCTTATCACATAATTATTTTTACTTTACCCATGACAAGTAGCCCAGTGACTCCCTTCACCACAAAAGTTTTCATGTATTTATTAAACAGAGCAAAAAATGTCCCTATTTCTGTAGAATTAAAAAAGAATTAACTATGGAAGTTTTATATTTGATTAAATTATTTATCACCCCAAATGATTTTTCAGAGAAATATGGCTAAGATTTACTTAAGAGAGAGAGGTTTCTGGGCCAGCAAATTTTTATTAAATTTGTACAGACTTGTTAGGCAAAAACAAATGAACCATTTAGTTCTAACTTAAATTCACTAATACCCCCTTTACACCGGACGGCGTCCTTTCTGCGACCATGAAATTTGGCATTGCTGTGGTCTTAATAAGGAGGCACGAGCATTGATTTTGTATCAGAATGAATGCTCAATGATCGGCCAGTTGTCGGCACGTTAAGTACTATAATTTTTAACTCTCAAATGGGGCCGTACTGCTGGACGCAGAAAGGACGCCGTCCAGTGTAAAGGGGGCTTAATCAAGACAAAATTTGATAGACAAAGATGAATTATATTATTGGCTTACTTTAAGTAAATTTATACAGAACATTCTTTACAGACAACTGAATTTGATTTCAAATATTACTTTGAGTACATGTGAGAAAGAAAAATGCACTAAGGAAATGCATAATATAATTACATCAAAAAGGAAAATAACAGAGGTATAATATCTGTTCAATCATAATATTTAATTTTTCTCAACCTTAATTTTTTAAGAAATTAAAAATAATAAAATAAGATTTTCTACAGGCTTGGAGAATTTTGTCCTTACTTGGATCCAGGTTTCATGTACTGCAGACAGAGAAATGACCACTCCCAAACCAATAGACAGTGAACATGACTATGTGAGTAAAAAAAAAAAAAACTTGAATAGTATTCATAACTCAAAGACCGTGTTAAATAAAATTAAAAGCAATTTTTATTCCTGTACTTATCTCAGTTCCATTTTCATCTAAAAATGCACCCACAAATTGTATGACACATCATACCAACATCATTTATAAGTGTCTTTCACAGATAAGTATGCTGCTTTTTATCAATATTCAAAATTTGATTTCAGACATTATCTGCAGACAGAGATACAATTAGTATTTCTCCAACAAACCGTGAACGTGCTTACATGAGTAAAAAGCAAATGAAAAGCCAATAACATGTCCTTTGATTTTTCACAAATTAAACAGCTAACAACCCTTCATACGAGATACAGTCTCCATTTTGATAGTTTTTTTCATAAGGTCTAAATGTGATGAGAAATCGCAAGCTACATTTTCAGTTTTTACAAGTTTCACCCTTGCTTCAAAGATAATTGAATAAATTTCTTCCAGGTTTGTAGATTGTTTGTCTTTGGTATTTAAAATCATTACTTTGATTTCAGATTTCATTCACTAGAGCACTACAGACAGGAGAACACTACTCCCGGACAAATAAACTGTGAACATAACTATGTGAGTAAAGTGAAAAAAAAAAATGGAATGTTAAACACCATTTTTTTTACATTTTTTTAACACATATTTTTAAGGGTATATTGTACATAATTAACAATCATTTTTATGCTCTACTTCATCATTACTATCAACATTACACACTTCTATACAACAGATAACGTCTTACTGGCATCATTTCAAGCCTTGTTAATTTTTGTAGTATTTGGCCTTGTACCTGTTAAATCTCTGCTTTCCATCCTAATACTGTATGAGCCATGTGACTCTTAAGTGGTTCAACCTGCTGAAATACATTGGGTTGGTGGCATTTCGTCTTTTTTACACCTTAATTTTGCCCAATATGAGAGAGCATCAGAAAGTTCAGAGCATATAAATAACTATAGTATTAGCAAGTTCAGTCCCTGTGAATTTTGGAATATGTGTAAGAGAGATACATGTATTTGGCATATCTTGTAAGATGACACATCAAATTTAAGCATGAAAGTTACAAATCGTTTTATAGATTATATTTTCTGGGATCCCAAACAGCAATGCCCATATGATTTCCCAAAAAATAAGGGATCAGCAAGATCCTATCCAAGAACTCCAAGATTTCAATGAAGAGCTAGGGAATACATAAAGACAAAGGTTATGTGTATGTGCAGTATGTAAGTGGGAGTGAGTGTGACAATAGAATTTTTGAATATATTTTCATTAAGCCCAAACAGTACAAGATTCTTTTACATTCATCACAAGAAAGAATTTATAATTTCTCCTTTATCCTCTGTGTTAAAAATAATTATAGGGGAATTATGACTACTAATATTTTCTCAATGTACTATTGAATATGTCAGAACTTGTCATAGCATCTATGAACTGTAGAGGTCTAGGTAGTCACGAAAAAAGAAGACATATTTCAGCATATTCATAGTAAACATTATGCAATATGCTGCCTGCAAGATACACATTTTACATCTAAGCAAACAGATTTTATTAGATCATGTTGGGGATTTGATGCATGTATTAGTCCAGGGAAATCTAATGCCCGTGGGGTTGCGATCCCGATACTTTTCCATAATACATTCAAGTATAATATGTTAAATAAAAAAAAATGATACTGAAGGAAACCTAGCTTTTAATTCTAAAGATTCTCCTTTTTCAAAAATACACTATGTTATTGATAAATATTTACAGACCAAACAAAGATTCACCTGAGTTTTATGAAAATCTAGAAAGACTTATAGAGGAAGAAGACTATGATTTTCTAGTTATCACAGATCCAACAAGATCCAACATTAGACTGTTCTAATTACAGAAATTTAATCCAAAATCAAGAGAAAGAATGTTAGGAATTAAGACTAAATTTGGTCTGGTGGATCCATGGAGAGTGTTACATCCTGATATTTGTAGATATACCTGGTCCAGTCTTAATCCTGTAAAGAAGGCAAGATTGGATTTCTTTCTCATCCTGACAAAACTAATGAATTTGATAAATAACTCTAAAATTAAACCAGGTTACAAAACTGACCACTCGATTGTAAAAAAATCTCTGAAATTTAATTCCTTTATTAGAGCAAAAGGCTTCTGGAAATTTAATAGCTTACTGTTAAAAGAACATGACTATAGAAACCTAGTTAAAAAAGTTATCTCAGATACAAAACATTTGTGCGCGGCAACTCCATATTCCAGAGATATAAATATTGACAGCATTGATAATGATACAGTATCATTTGTAATCAATGACCAGCAATTTTTTAAATACTATTATTAAACATTATAGGCAGTACCATAGCTTACACCTCAGCAAAAAAGAAAGAAAAAGACAAAGAAGAAAAAAGATTGGAAATAGAGATTCAAGATATGGAAAATTCAAACTCAGATTTGGAAAGATTACAAAATTGCAAGAGAGAACTAAAAAATATTTTAAATCAAAAATTGTCTGGGAGTATTCTACGATCAAGAGCAAAGTTGGTGGAGGAAGGCGAGAAGCCAACACAATACTTTTGTAGCCTGGAAAAAAGATATTACATCAATAAAACGATAACAAAATTGATAGTCTCAGAAACAAATACGTTAACTGACCAATTTGATATTCTGCAAGAAATTGAAAAGTATCATAAAGAACTATTTGCATCAAAAATTGGAAAATTAGATGATGTGAATCTACAAGTTATCTTGAATGATATGGAAATAGTAAAACTCTCGGATTAAAAGGGGAAAAAGATTGAAGGCAGCATCACACTACTGGTACAGCCCTTAAAAGTATGAAAAATGGTAAAGCACCTGGCACAGATGGCTACTGTAGAATTCTTTAAGTATTTTTGGACAGATCTTGGAATTTTTTAGTCTGCTCTTTCAATTTTGGTCTAAAATTGTGAGAATTATCTATTACTCAAAAACAAGTAATTGTATCAGTGTTACCAAAACCCAACAAGCCATTATGTTTTTTCAAAAACTGGAGACCAATAACATTACTGAATGTTACTTACAAAATTTTGTCAAGTGTTTTAGCCCGACAACTAATCTGTCTTATACAGATTACTACATGAAGACCAGAAAAGTTTTATGGCTGGGCGTTTTATTGGTGAGAACACAAGACTCACATATGATTTAATGGAAACCTGTAAAACTAATAATATACCAGGTATGATTTTAGTACTCGACTTTGAACAGGCGTTCGATTCAATTTCCTGGAAATTTATCTACAAAGTGTTAGACTATTAATTTTGGGCTTGATTTCAAACACTATATGAAAACATTAAATACAGGTGTGAGTCTTTGTGTTATACAAAACGGTTTCTTCTCAGGATTTTTCAACATAGGTCGTGGATGCCGCCAAGGCGACCCACTTTGTCCTTATATTTTTAATTTGGGTGTTGAGATTTTAGCAGTGCTAATTAGAAATAACAAAAATATGAAAGGTATAAAAGTTAAAGAAAAGGAGTACTGTTTACTGCAATATGCTGATGATGCAATAATGTTTCTAAGTGGAACTAAGGAAAGTCTAAAAACTGCCCTTGATCTTTTGGATCAGTTCTTTAAGTTTTCTGGGTTGAAGCCAAATCTAGAAGAGACAAAAGCTATCTGGATAGAAGCAAAATGTGACTCAGAAGATATTTTATGTCCAGAATATGGTTTGGAATGGACAAATAATGACTTTACCATCCTCGGAATTGTATTTAACCCTAAACTTGAAAAAAAATTATTTTGATAAAATAGCAAAAAATAAAAAAAGAAATTAAAGATTGGAATTGTAGCAACATCACACCTCTATAGTCAAAGATTCCGGACTGTTCCTGCACCACAGAGGACTGTCAAAGAGTGGCCAAGCAAGGGTTCCATCATGGGCTGCAGTGTATTCAACAGTACATAAAGAACATTTATCAGAACTCAACTCTAAATCAGTCGCTCAGTGCCCCAATAAAGTAGCAAAGGTGTGTATACCAGCTAAGACTGTACATAAATAAGCAGAAATTTAGATTACACATTACTTTTTATACTCTAATAATACCCACTTTCACTCCCGACAAAAAAAGAGACTTTTTCCGTCCCACAAAATTCCACTGCTTGAATCAATTCCTTAAAAAAAAGTAATAATAAATTCATCTATGTTGGGCAAGTGACAGGCAATACACATTACGTTCTTTTCAAATTAATAAGTAGAATAAATTTTCAATACCATCAGTGTTGACGTTTTAAAGTAAAACATTACTGTCTTAGTTAAGCAATGATATCATTTGACTTCAGAAAAAGAAGCTACCACTAGGGCTCATTGATGACTTTCATGCATCATCAGCATCGTGCATCATCAGCAGTGAGCATGGCCACTCTACTGGTTCAAAAGGTTCCTGTTCCTGCCACTACTCCTTCGCCAAGCCTCCATACCTTGGTTCTTGTCAACAAGAAGCTGTGCCGTGGGGGCATTGACATCTCTGCTGTCCAAACAGGCATCTCTAAACTTCAACAGAAAATAGCTAGTAATTTCAGCTACTGCCAGAGGAGTTACTTCAGTCAAATCAAACAATCTCAACAGCAACACTGGAAGAACCCAAGTACGTATATGATAATCATAAAATGACATTAAAATAACCGGTGTATCAAAATGATGTCATTATAACCAATTATAACCAAATATTGCAATAGTGACCATTCTTTACATTGTAATCTACTTAATTTTGATGGCTTGTTGATATAAGTTCAAATTACCATCAAGGTTAAATTGATATTCATTTCAGTTCTTTATTTATGTTTCTATATCAGATAAAGGAATTCGGGGTTGAAATTTTTACACAACCAGTGGTTACTTTATGTTTATGTCTCTAACTATTTACCTATATTTTCCTGCTTTGAGTTCTTTGGAGTTAAAAGTCCAATTGGAAGCCTGTACTTCACTTCAATATTAACATCAGATTCCATGGTTGACTATAGCCATTCATGGACCGTTTTTTTCTTCTTATCAAGTTTGCTGGTTTATATGAATCCACCATCATCCAACCTTGTCTGTTTTCCTCCATTGTGTTCTTTCCACATATTTTAATAGTTCTTCTTTTGTTGTGGTAATGTTTCTGCAAGTGTGAGATAATACCCTGTCACCCAATACCAAGGAGAATATGCCAGAACACCTGGCACATAAGTGAGAGGTGTTCAAGGCATATATCCCTAGAAGGTGGCAGTGTATTACTTGACATAAATACCAATAGAAATTACTGGCATTTCACCAAAAAAAAAAAAATAATAATAATAATTATAATAATAATAATAAAATAAATAAATAAAACACTTCTAAAAATACATCACCACAGTCATGTAGCATTTCTAGGTGTGGGTAAATTAAATGATAAACAGTTGGTTTCATAGTCGGACCTGTAATCAGGAATGTGATTTGTGTGTGTGTGTGTGTGTGTGTGGACTGGGGGGATGGGGAAGGAGGACTGAAATTTGACAATATTGTGCAATAATTCCAGGTAAGTTAAAAAAACAAAGTTTAAAGAAAACAAGACAGCAAAGCTGGCAGATACACAGACACTCTACAGGAAACAAGGCAGCAAAGCTGACAAATGTTCAGACATTATGCAGAAAAAAGTGCACCAAATAATGTTTTGTCTAATTTTGATGCACTGTTAAAAACAGCATAATCACTCTTACCCTCTTACATTATGTACTAACGGTAACGTGGACACTGAAAAACGACCAATAAATAGCTGTGTGAAAAATGACCAATCAGAATATGTACAGACACTTACAGTGCCTGTGTATAAAAAATGAATTTTGGGAAAAAATCACACCCCTGTGTAATCCTCTTATCTAGCACTGAAATTAAAATACTTAACAATTTTGTAGATTGCTTTAGAAATGCACAAAATCCTATTTTTCAGAGTTTACAATGAGGTGCAACATGGTGAACTGCACAAGCTCAACACCACCTTGCTGATTGATGAAGTTCATCAGCCCCTTCACTGCTTATAAGATTATGAAAAGGCCTCCAGGAGGATGTTTCTAAGTGACAAGCTGCTGGACGACATCAACAAGAGAGCAGTTTTTCTCCCAGGAGATTACCCAACCTTCTGCTTCATGAAAAAACTCAGCCCTGTTACCCATCACAGATCATCCCCATCACATTGTTCCACTTCAAGGCCCATTTCATGTCTTCCTAAATTTCATTGAGGATATTGTCATCACAAATCACGCCTTCTTTGCCAATCTGTCTTGTGAAGTTTTTGGGGGGATTCTCGCTAAAAAACCAAAGCCCTTTCGCTTCAGTCTTGTCATTGCTGCTGCATACCTTGGCTGGTATCATATTCGATCATCTATTCTTCCCAAATTTCACCTCTCCAAGGATCTGAAAGTTCTTTACATCCTCTTTCTTTTAGACACTCTCATTCCAACAGCATTTGTTTATTATTATAAAATCTTTTGTACTAGAGACTTCAAAAATCTCCGACTCATCATATCTCTCATTGCCATCATTTTCATTATACTTCGCCGCAGACATTAAACTTCTTTAGCAAGAATTAGCGACGACATTCATCATCAAAGTCTATCAGCAGATCAAAAATTTTCATCTCAGCATTTTCACTGAGAAACTTTCACAGTGTTCTTAGGAGTCACATTCAACCACATTCCAACCATCAGCAAATTTCACAAAGGGCTAAAGAACTTTCAGCAACAAACATTGATTCATTTTCAAAAAACTTCACCAACCAACCATCATCTTCATTCCCATCTTAAGACCTTACTTTGATCACAAACAAAACTGCTCTATTATTAGTCAAGTCATTCCCTGCAACAGCAGATCACATCGGCCAGGCCAACCAGGTAAATTAAGTTCAAAAGAGTTGAATAAAAGTACCTTGAGTGGTGGAGTTTGAAGTATGGTATCTTTTCAGTTGGCAAGGTGGATTAATTTGAATCACAATATAATGATGTTACTGTATTCATACTAAAGGCTTTCTTTACATGGATAGAATCGAGAATAGGCACCAATTGCAATTCAAAATTTTGTGTGTGAATAAGTGAATGACAATCTCATAAAAATGTAATTTCAACTTATCATTAATTTACAGAGTGAAAGGAAGCCAAAGGAACTTCCAAAGTACCACTTACCAGGGCTACAAATTGACCTTGACGTGAGGAAAAATGCCTCTTGGATTTTCTTTTTAGGATTTTGGAGTTGGTATATCAAATATACATGTGAGGAAAATCGACAATTTACAACATACAATTTTAAAAATGCAATTTGAAGAGCTTTTGGCTGTGCCATAAACAAAAATCAGACTAACATAACTTTCAATAGTAAATAGCATTTTCTTATGATTCCAGATTATGTACTGTATTAACACTTTAAATGCTGTGGAAATGTGTTGTTCACTGGGAAAGCAAATCTTAAAGAGTTGCTTGTAACTCAGCTTTAAATCTAGTATCCTGGAAATTACAGAGCTCAAAAGCAAAATGGGCTAATAGTTTGAGCAAAATTATAATATTAACATTTAATAAACTAAAATATTGCATTTTATGATTTAGCATTTGTTTGAAATGTATGATGCTATCATGCAATGAAATATTTCGTACTTTTTCAGATGTGAAAGAACAGCATGTGTAGCCAATGAAAATGCAGCATTCAAAGTATTAATGTGTGGACACTCATTTCATATAGCTGCATGTCCAACCAATGTCGTTTTGTCAAAAGAACATAAACAGAAGAATACAAGACCTCTGAAACATCAAGGGAAGAAACTCTATAAAACAGTAAGTTATTGTAATATACTGAAAGTCAGTGAAAAGGCATCAGAAAACTTTCTTGTACTTTTTTACCGAGAATTGATTCCAACCATTTAAACGAGTACAGATGCACTTGTTTGGTCATAAGAGAGTCAGGGCTGACCAGGTGTTTAAAATTTCCGCTTCAGTGATTTTGTGGTCAGCTGTCACAAAAGCATGCATTTTTCCTGTCTCATGATTGGTGTGAATTAATCAGATTCAGCATATAGTGATTAATTAAGCCTATTTAAGGTAGTCACCAAATCCAGTGTGGCAGATGACAAAAAAGTTCAGTGATGCAGAGTCTGACACTGAAAGAGTGTCTGCGGGCCCTGGGGATGCTGGAGGATGGGCGGAACCAAAGAGATTTGATCACTTGACCTTGCATTTTAATTATCTTTTCTAACCTTTATTTCACCTTGTGTGACTGAATAATGTGTCATATTTCACACGAAAACTTATTTTCTAAATGTGCCAAAGGAAATATTATTTGACAAATAATTAAATGATGCGTTTTCGTTGACTGTCAGTATATTTTTTAAAACAAATTTTACCTTAAAAAGATACTGTGTTTAACACAAATTAACTTACTGATGATACTACATTTTTTTGACTAAGTTAAGTTCAATTATTCTACTACATTTTACTAAGTTCAGTATCTTGATGCGTGATGAAATGATAAATATTAGAGGCACACCCAAATAATTACTTTGCACTCAAAATCAGTACAAAATGCAGCTCAGCTTTAACATAACCGCATGGTCCATCTCCAACCGGAACTACCCCGCCTTACAGCCTCTCTTTGAGCACAAACACATCCTATCTACTGCAATGCACAATGCACTACACTAAGATCTAATAAACGGTATATTAGATCTTATCACTACATAACACTATATTAATCTGTTTTCTAGGCATGGAAGTGGCAACAAACATCTGATAACCGCAGTAAACGAAGTTCTAACACCTACATCTACTAAATACACAGATTCTAAGTGCCCACAGCAGAAAGGATCCATTTTGAACTCGAAAAACAACCTCTTCTGTTGTTGTTGTGGGTGTATCCATACGTATTGTAAGTCCAATCATGTTAAAAAAATATTAATAACAGTAAAAAATGTATATATTAATACATGTATAATGAATAAATAAATATTCAAGAAATAGATAACATTAACACTGTTACAGTCTACCATGCTAGCTACTGACTTGACTGGTTAAATTTTGTTTGGACCAGTATTTTTTTTCCTTGAAGTTTCCAAAATAAAGATCTTTGATTAGTATTTGTCTGGAATGTACTTATGATTCTAAATTTAAAAGAAAAAAAATTGACAAAATCATGTGCTACAATCTTTTGCGACTATTTTAATAGTAATAATAAAATATTAATGAAATTGGGTAGAGTGCAGTCTTATCAAAAATTTCTGTTTGGGGCAGTAAATCCTGATAAGTAGCTGGTGGTCCTAGAGGCCAGTGAGATGAAAGTTTGTGACACAGACTGCTGTGCATTAAAATAGCTTAACATTAACACTGTTTGTTTGTTATATATTATTTTTTCCGCATACTTTTAAATTTCAGAGAACAATGTGGCATAAAGTTAACCGATGTGCCTAAACACTTAACTCTAGGCAATACAGAAAATAGTTAAGTATCAAGATGATAATTATTGACCTTCTTTACATTTGTAAACATACAGCACAATATGGGTATTATTGATTAGTTAATACCTGAAGACTGTACAACTTGCTCTCACTCCCAATAATATGGATTTGAATAATATAGCATTGAACAAACATGGGTACAGTGTACTTCAGCTTACAGAGATAGTCAATTAAAAAAAAAAGATTTGTGCAAAAGGGGTATTTATAAAGTATGATCCACTTGTCACTGTGTTATCACATGGGAAATCTTTTGGCAATCATGAAATTGTCAAATATAGGACTCTTGCAGTTGTTAAAGCTGACTGCATGATTCTTCATAGATATATAGCCCATGCGTATTGAGTAAAAACACCTGTGAGCACAAGCATGTTACTTACTCTACCTTTGTACTCTTCCAGGCTGAGGAAATCCATAAACACGTTGCGATGCAACTAAATGCCCCATTGTTGTGCGCTCAGGTAAGTGCAGGCTTTTTACCAATTTATGTTGTCTATCTATCTACATAGCTACATGTATCTATCTGTCCCATAGTCTGACGACCGTAGGGGCACAACAGATTAACTGCATGGCAACCAGTGCTCTCCATCCATCTCGATCATCCATCCTTCTCATAACCTCATTGAGTGGCAAACCTGTCCACTAGCGGATGTTATCCTCCCATCTTTTCCTCTGTCTGCCTCTCCTTCTGCCTCCTTCCACTGTGCCTTGCAGGATTGTCTTGACGAGTCCTGATAATCGTGAAACATATGGCCGTACCACTTCAGTTTCCTTTTTTTTTTTCACAATGGACAAAAGATCTTCATATGGGCCAATGGCTTGCTTGATTCTGTTCTGTACCTCTTCATTGGTTATGTGGTCTCTGTCCGTGATTCCAAGGATCTTTCTGAAGCATCTCATCTCTGTAGCTTTTATCTTCTTTTCCAGCTCAGCTGTCAGTGTCCATGACTCGCATGCATACAAGAATATCGAGATCACCAGGGCGTGCATTAGTCTGATTTTTGAGTTGAGTGTAATGCTCCTGTCATTCCAGATGATTTTCAGTTTGTTCATCGCTGCTGTTGTTTGCGCTATTCTTGACAGGATTTCTGGTTTTGATCCTTCATCTGATACGACTGACCCAAGATACTTGAACTTTAATATTGACCACTTCAAGTTTCTCTCCTCTCACTCTGATGTCAGTGCTGATGCCATTACTGCTGTTTGTCATCAGTTTGGTCTTTTCTGCACTGATCTCCATACCAAATGCTGCCGATGTCTTGTCTAGGTTTGCTACGAAGTCGGCCAGTTCCTGTTCTTCCCCGGCCACCCGTCAATGTCATATGGGCAAACCGCAGGTTAGTGATTGTCCTGCCTCCAATGCTGACAGTTCCATCATGTTGTCTACACATTTTTAATTTCTCACTTACAAAGTGATTCATTCCTGGCCAGAAAAAAACCTTCTTTTACAATTGAAAGTGTACAATTCCTACCTTGATGTCCTATTTCATCATTAGTTAAAGGATAGCATAAAATGGGAGGATCAGTAAGTTTTTCTATAAACATTTCGAATGCTTTTTGGTGCTCCTCCTTCCATACCCAATAGGCAGCTCCCTTCTTTCGTTGTTCCTCTTTTGTCAACTCATAGAGAGGTTTTGCTATTTTTGCAAAGTCCTTAACAAATCTACAGTTAAACTCAGCAAAACCTAAAAAACGTTGTCTCTTTAATGTTAGTAGGGGTCTTCAACTCTGACAAACAATTTGTTTTCTGAATCACATTCAATACCTGCACTTGAAACAACATGCCCCAAATATTTATTCTTTTCTGTAAAAAATGACACTTTGAAGGCTTTAGTTTCAACCCTGCCTTTTTTAATCGACACAATACTTCTCTGACTCAAGCAATCTGTTCATTAATGGATTCTCCTGAAAAAATTATAATATCATCAAGTTAAATCATACAGGTTTTTAAAACCAAATCACCAGTAACACTTTCCAATCAAATGCATGCTGAAACATTGCTGGACTATTGGTCAATCCTGTGGCCATCCTGTTACATTCATAAAATCCAAGTGGTCCCACTGTGAATGCCATCTTTGCTTTGTCTTCTTCTTTCAATATCCACCACACAAATCTAATGATGAAAACCAAACTGCCTCCTTTAGAGCATCTTGCATCTCTTCAATCAGCCACAATGGATGAACATTTCGTACCGTGCAGTTGTTTACCACATTTAAATGGAGTTGCAACAAATGACTCAAATTAAGGTTAATCACATACCAGTAACATTGTTCACTATTTAATACAAATTTGCTCTACATCTACATCACAGCTGTTATTATTGTTTAGACTTGACGATTTCCACAGGTACACATTGCAACAATTACTTAAATTCACTAATTCCTTAAAAAAAGTAAAATCAAGCATACCAATGTAGATGCATGCATCGTATTGTACTATATATATATATATATATATATATATATATATATATATATATATATATATATATATATATATATTCCAGCAAACTAGACAGTCCCATTAATTAGACAGAAAAAAGGAAAAAAAGAAAACAAAAATAAGTGTTATTGGGAATTCATATTCAGAAATAATATTATTTGTCCCAAATGTTTTTATAACAAAACCAAAACAATTGTTAAACTTAAGTTTAAAATTTGTCACTGATGCTAATTCATCAGCATGATGTGATATTGAGATATTTATGCTTAGCATTCATCTGTATAGGATTATCAATGGATCTTCAAAAGGAACTGCAAATAACTGTTTTGCAATAACATTTCAAAACCAATGCATAGTATTGTAGGCTAATGTTTTATTTATTGATAGCTTCTTTTGTTGAACTCTCTTCTTACCTTTTTACAGATAGAAACTACCAAGGACTTAATGGTCAAGGGGAAACCCACAAGGGGAAATGACAAGCATTATGGTTGTAAGATGCAACAGACATGATACCCATAATCCCCGGTTAAAGTTGCCAGCTGTGCTGAGTTCAAAGGCAGGATCAGTTTCAGTGCGTGTGAAAAGAGTCTGGTCTGTCACATCAGTCATTGCAGAGATGTGGAGGTAACGAACTGTTATTTTTTGTGTTAATTCACACTAAACAGTCTCTATATGTTAAACAAGTTATTTCAATAAAACAATTCCATATCACTGTATATCCACCTGTTCATAATTACTATGTCAAACTAAACCATAAAAAGATGTCATAACCTACTTCACATTACTAAGAATTTATGTTGAGAAAATGTCCCATCAGTTAATTTCACACAAAAAATTGCCCTCAGTGCAACTTAAATTGCCCTCATCATTACAATTTTCATGCAATTTAGCGACTTCCAGTGTTTGAACTGACAAAAATGATGCCAAAAAATATCAAACGCACCTCGCTGTTTTCATTTATCCATGTCACTTCCCTTCTAAAACTGCACTTCCATACTTAGAACTTGAATACAAAACATACATGCATGCTTTCATCCCCAAAAGCAAGAATACATATACTGTACCTAGGTTAAGACTCTCCCAAGTCCTGTAATTTCACTACAGTTAGATGTTTCATATAATGTTTAACAACTACACTGTTTCAATTTATGATTAAGTACATGTATGCCTTCTCTGTTCATTCCAGATACAACCAAGCATGGACTTAGAGCAAAAATGACATTCATTGCTGTTTCCTCCTCCAACAGTGAGGATTTCCTTTTAATTCAAGAGCTAGAGGGAGAAACAGCAATGACAAAAGAAATTGCCATAATTCTTTTTCTTATTACAACCGAGGAAGGCATATCAAGTGAATTGCCAATGACTATACATGCCACAACAAGAGAAGACAGGATACTCAAAGCAGGTAAAGATGGTACGTTTCCATTTTAGACTCTGATTATATCCAATTATTACAGTCTGAACACAATTATCAAAATAACTTTTTAAATATACTTATACAAAGTAAATTAAAGCATTTACTCTACTTTTCCTTTTGAAATGCAAATAAAAAATGTCATTTGCTAAGACATTAAACTGCAAGTTTTCATTACTATATTAAATTATGTAACACCACATCATTATAATTTTTAAAACCCTCACATGAATGCACACTCCTACCGCAAATGTCTAATAACACACTCTCATAAAACAATGCTTTCTCAGTGTGTATGTAATGAATAAATGTTCATAAGCCCTTGATGCATCTGATTGTTACTTTTTTTAATATACAGAACTCCATTTCCCAAATGCCCTTAAAGAAAATACAGGAATGTCTACTTAATATGTCCTAATGGTAAGTTTTTCTATAATTGTATCCTTTAAAATCATAACTACCACGTTATATAACATTGAAAATATTCCCTTTTGATTTACAATTTCAGTTTAATCCAATAAAAGTTCCACAAATTTTCATGAAGGCACAGGACTTATGCAGTGTGATTTTTCAAGTATTTAAAAAGGCCTTCTAATAGATGTGGCCTTGAACTTGGCTTAATTTCCATTAGTTAATAATATAAGAATCAGCCTCTAGCACAATAGTGAAATTTATTAACATTGGAAGTCTCAAGTAAAATACTTCTCTGCTTTTGATTGTGATACAGTTTGTATTATTATTATATTTAAAATGGTACCTTTCAATTATACTGTAAATAACAAAAAGTATGTACCTTTTTAGCATGTGACCAAATGGTTGATACTGGTATTACAGTTGAGGCACCATCAGAGTCAGATGCCAGCAACTAGATGGCAATTGTCATTTATTGCTGTGACTCTAATAGTGGTTGCAGCAATAAGACACGTCCTGCATTGGAAATCTAAGCAAAAGAAAAGGCAAGTTTTTAAGCAGAGATGTTTAATAATTGAAGTTTTCTTCACAAAAGGAATACTTACTTAAGTTTTTTTTCCTTTGTCTTTTATTTGACCCCTTAACATCATCCAGTAGCTGTAAATTCATCCATCTGAAGGCAATTTCATTGTACAAAAGAAATATGGAAGCCTTATTGTGTCAACTTTATTATTATTATTATTATTATTATTCTCTCATTTAACATTTAATGATTGAGTGCCTCATGATGAAAGAGTAATGTGTTTTTCTGAATTTTATTAATGACAATGTCTGATTTACTATTTGTTAGCTCCTTTGCACATTCTATGTCCATTAGGATCTGCAAAAAATATACTACCCAGTAGCATACTATTAGTAATTGATTTTGCAAAGAAAACAAACATCTTTTACACGTGCAAGTGTTTTATTTTTGGAATTAACTTTTTGTTTTTGTTTTTTGAAGGAAAAATCAAAATTTGGAATCCAATTTGGCATCCAGCCTGAGTAAAACATCCCATTTAGGCTATGTCTGTGCCCAGAACACAGATGTGCTGAGAGGAGACAGATACATAGGTAATACAACTGCTATTGGCAGAGACAACAAGGGATACCAGAGTTCTACAGAAAGAAGATATGAAAGTGGCTCCAAAGACCACAAGAACATCAGACATCAACCAGCCTATAAGATAGGACAACAGATAGAAATATACCTCCACCAGATTATTGAACAACATTATCACAGACTTATATGTGGTTTTAAAAAGGAATTGTTTTATTGCCATTTTTTTATTACAGACTATAATAACAGAATTTATTTTAAACATCAAAATAGAAGTGCAACACACCCTAGACATTCCAGTAATTTCTTAGACAGAGAATTACTGTAGCTGACTGGTAATGGATACTTTCTAGGATAAAATACATGCAAGATCTTACTGAAACACACTTTGTGTTACAATAAGGCGAACCGGGTGCTAAAACAACATGGTGGGTTCAACACATCCTACCAGCCTTTACCAAAGGGGGGGGGGGAATAAAGTGCATAAAGTGACATTTAACAATGTATATCTTGGTAATTTAGAAGCGACCAATGATGCTGTTTTTATTAAAGTGTCGGTCTTGTATAATTTCATTTTGCCAAGTGAGATGTAAAAATAAATATATGATTTATATATATAAAGAGAAAGAATGTTGTGTGTATGTACAAGAGAGAGGGGGTTGTAGAGGGGCGTAACCAACAAGTTTATGTACAGCGTCCACGAGAAAAATTATGCTTTATTGAACATTAATTTGCCCCGGAGAATTTACATGGGACAAAGCCATTGTTGGCGATCAAGTGATATTCGGCGACAGGCCAGCTCGTTGATATTGATATTCTCATAAAGTGGACAAGTGACCCGTTTTTATTTGGCGGTCAGTGTGTCTTGTCTTTTTTCGATCTGTGTAGACTGCTTTGGTAACTCCTTACGATAACAGCTGGGAATTTAAATTCATGCACTTATTCTCAAGATATAGGTCCATTTGAAGAAAACAGAAAAGTGAAAAATGAAGTTAAAGATATAGAATTTTACTTTATCTTGTGCCATAAAACGATTAATATAGCTTTCTGTGTAAATCTCGGAAAAATTAAAATACATGCCTTGCAGGAATGGGGAATTTTCGTATTCAGTACCAAGGTTTTAGTAACGAAAGTTTTAAGAATAACCTTGAATAACATTCATGCGTCATTAATACTAACAAAAATGAATGGTATTACGAGATGTGAATTTATTTTACTGACACATTTTGTCCTCAACCTCAAGTTTATTTTTCCACATAACGAAGATCTAAGCTTTAGACCGTTTTCGTC